CACNACCACCACCACTACCACTACCACTACCACTACCACTACCACTACCACCCCTACAACTACTACCATTACGACAACCACGACCACTTCCACTGCCACATCTACTACCATCGCTCCTCCATCCACCGGTAAGAACTTCCCACTTTGGCGCTGATGATGTTGCTTGGCGTCAAAGAACCGTAGTACCATGTTTTCCTTGCTGTCACGCAGCTTGTCTTGCAACTGATCGTCGCGTTGCCAAACGCAATCAATATAGACGTTGCGCTTTATCGAATCAATGCAGGCTCAGAGATGGCAGTAGTTGGTGCTCTTGGTCACGTCTGGAATGCTGACGCTTACTTTAATACTGGCTACATGTTTCAACGCGCAGCAGATTTTGAGGTAGATGTTTCTCAAACAGGTCAGGTACCAGCGCTGTACCAAAGCGAGCGCTACTTTGACTTGAAGCAAGTTGATCTCGTGTACAATTTCCCTGTATCCGTGCCGGGTAAATACTTGGTGGAGCTTCATTTTGCGGAAATTTGTGACTGTGTTTCCAAGAGAAAGCAGCGCCGCTTTCATGTTCGCATCGAGGGCAAGCGTGTCGAAAAAAAGCTCGACCTGTTTCGTGATCATGGGTGGGGGGTGGCCATCCGTCGTTTGTATGAGTTACTGGTCAAAGATAATGCTGTGACGATTCAGTTCCAGAAGAAGCAGGGGAATCCTAAAATTTCGGCCATCGCCATTTACCCACCTGGTGTTGCAGCTCAGCTTCCAACGACGCCACTTCCAGTTGCTACATCCGCATCACCAGCATCTTTAACGACACCACCGGCAACAACCACATCCAAGGACGACGCGAGCGCCTTCCAAATCCCCATCTACCGTATCAATTGCGGTGGATTGAGCTTTTTTGACTCGAAGACGGGGCACGAGTGGTACGGCGACCTATTCTCTTCAACAGGCAAAGCGATTGAAGATGCAAGCATTCAAGTAACAAACAACGGGGTCGATCGCTATCTCTATCAAACGTATCGTCGCGGCACAAACAAGGAGCCAAGCCTCGTTTACAATCTTCCGGCACAATCGCAAGTTGGGGAGCCCGTCATGTTACTGCTTCACTTTTTGGAATTCTGTGCCGATTGCGAGCGCACATTTCACGTTTACGTCGGACAAACTCGAGTGGCAAAGTCATTTCGCACCATGGATGTTACTGGAATTCGCTCTCGAGCGGTGGTTGTGCCATTTTTTGGGCGCATCAGTGATGATGGCATGCTGCAACTACGACTTGAATATGCTGGGACTAACAAGGACTGGCCTCTTCTGATGGGCATTGAGCTCTATGGGCGTGAGCAAACTGCCACACAAACGCAAGATGTGGCCTCCGCGTCTTCGAGCGCAAGTCTGCCAGCAGCGACGTCAGCTCCTGCGCCTACCACTGTGTCCACCTCTCAATCAACCCCAGCTGGTTCAATTCTGTATCGCATTAATGCAGGGGGCCATTCTTACTCTGCAGCTTCAGGGGCAGAATGGCAGGAGGACAATCACTTTGGCACCGGTGTTGCCAATGTACAGACATCTGCCAGTGTACCCAGTGCTACGGAGCCAGGGATTTACCAGTCTGCACGTGTAGGCGATGGTTTGCACGATGTTGTGTACCAAGTGCCAATCCCCATTCGTGGTATCTTTACGGTTGAGCTATATTTTGCTGAGACCTGTGATTGTGCTACTCATATCGGTGATCGTGTCTTTGGCGTCACGGTTGAAGGTCTGCAAGTTGCTTCAAGGCTGGATCTGGTCGCTGCGGCAGGGTGGAGCCGTGCTTTTGTCCTTTCAGTCATGGTTGAGGTGACCGATGGTATGTTGAATCTGATTCTTAGCCAAGATCCAGCAACTCTACCCCCTGTACTGAATGGCCTCCAGATAGCATTTGAGGAAGCAACTGAATCGGCTGTCACAACAACGATGACCACCCTTGTTACAACATCTACCACGACGATCACAACCACAACTACAACCACAAGATCTTTGACCACGATTCCTGATGCCGATCAGCCGATGGGCTATGTTGCTCTCGCACGGATCAACTGCGGCAGCACAGCTGCCTACGTAGACTCCCATGGTCGCTTGTGGAACCCTGACTATGGTTTTGTCGGAGGCACGTCATTTGAGATGCCGGAGCTCGGCATTGCAAACACGCGGGATCCGCGCCTCTTTCAATCTGAACGATATGGCCTTGGCACGCTGCGATATGAGATTCCGGTTCCTGCACCCGATCTTTACTTTGTGAGGTTGCATTTTGCTGATATCTGTCCCTGCACTCTGGGCGTCGGGAGTCGCATCTTTAAGGTTTGTTTTTGAGTTGGTTCATGTGCGCACCTTTGATTTGTTTTTCTTGCTTGCCTGCTTGTTTGTTGCATGTTGGCGCGAGCGACTCGGCGTTTGTCCTTGGTGCAATTCACTATTGAACACGCCTCACAAAACCGTATTTTGATTAACTGCGATAGGTTGAGGCCGAGTCGGCACTTGTTGCTGAAGCACTCGACTTGACCGCCAAGGCTGGTTGGGCCACAGCGTTTGAGCTCGCGTTCTTGGTTGATGTGAAAGACGGGGCTTTATCTCTGAGTTTGGACAGTACGGCAGGTGCAGATAATCCAAAAATCAATGCTATTGAAGTTTACGCCGATCACATGTTAATTCCAACGAGTACTTCTACGACCACAGCAGAGGCAAGTACAACTGCAACCGCGACACCTACGACTACTACCACTTCTACCACCACTACCACTACCACTACCACCACTACCACTACCACTACCACTACCCCTCTAACTACTACCACTGCTACCACAACTACCACG